ACACGAGTGGGCAGAGTGACCTGGGATTCGCCCTGTGCCTGCCCCGGACCAGGCATGGCCTGCCGGGCTTTGGTTCTCAGCTCAGGCCCAGGCCCCTCTCGCCACAGCCCCCCGACCCCTGTTTCTCATTTCCTGTCACTCAAAGTCCTGAGAGCGGCCCAGAGCCTCCAAGCCCCAGGCTGGCTCTGCTCTGTCGGACCCACAGTTGTGCCAGGAATTCTTGCCTGATGGCCCCCAGCCAGCAAGGGACACAGGCAGAGCCCCCCGGCCACCTGCCCGAGCCCCAGAAGTGCCCAACGTCACTTCCCAGGCCAGCCCACGCCCAGACCAACCCTCTGCACTCTGGGCCCATGTCCTGACCTCACCTGCTACGCACCGGCCCGGGCACTGTTCCCACTAAGGCTCCAGGAGGCCTTCATCCACCAGCACTTCCTGCCTCTGCCCGCTGGGCCCTGCCCTCCCCAGCTTAGTTCTGGGGCCTCTGCCTGACTGTGCTCGCCCAGGGCTCACTTCCCCTCCTTGGGCTCAGTGCTGCCCAGCGCCTACCCTCCCCCAGCTCACACTCTGCAGGTAGCTCCAGGGCCCGGGTCTGCCACAGCCGGGTGGAGTGTGGCTCCCAGGGCCTCCAGCCAGGCAGAGGAACCCGTTCTCCTGGTTTGTGGCTGGCGCTTCGAGGGGCTTCCCGAGGGCCGCACCCCAACGGTCCTGTCCCTGTACCTGGGGCCAGCTTGGGGGAGGCTGCTCCTCAATCTCAAAATCCATTTATAGCTAAAGAGAAGGGAGGGGACACAGCCACACCCCTGAAGCCAGAACTGCCATCCTGGGCAGGAACCACTCCCCTCAAGTGGCACGAGCGCCCACCTCTGCTCTGTGTTCCAGGCACCTGCCCAGCCAGGGACCCAGACATGCTTCATCCAGCTCCTGGGCCCACCCTGCCCTCCTCAGCGTCCTGGGACGGGCATCCTGAGCAGCTGCTGGGTGCCAGGCAGCATCCCAGGCATGACAGGCACAGCAGCCCCGTTCTAACCCTAACCCACCACAGAGGGAACAGGGAGCAGCACCCGATGCCGTGCCAGATCACCCGCAGGGCTGCCTACTGCGCTGGGTGTTTGGGGGTGGAATGGGGATCCAAAGGGTGGGACCGACGCTGAGCTCCCCAAAGCAGAGGAACTGGGTTCAGAGGAGCTGCAATGCAGGCCCTCCAAAGGAAGGTGCGGGACGGGACGCCACACCGGCTGCTGCTGGGCGGAAGGGGGCAAAGGTGACGAGCAAAGCTGAGAGCCCTGCTCTGTGCAGGTCTGGTCTGGGTGCTTGTTGGGAGTGCAGAACTGAACGTTGGTCCTGCCCATCCACCCAGACCTGCACTGTGACCAGATCCCAGGCCATGTGTACCCCAGGTGAGAGCGAAGCAGCCTCTTAATAAATACCAGCTGATTCTTCCCCATTCCCACTCCACAGGCCAGAAGATGGAAGCGCAGGGGAGTCAGATGGAATGGTGTGAGAGCCCCCTGAAATGGCAGGGCCAGCGGAGGGCACAGCGGGCTGCAGTCAGAGGCCAGCCCGGAAGCGCTCCTGTGCCATGTCCCCAGAAGCCTGGCTTCGAAGCGCGGCAGGATCTAGGCTGAGTGGCGAGAGCTGGAGAGGTAGGTCAGGGTTCCTCGATTACAGAACAGGCTCCTCTAGGACATCAAGTACCGCCAACAGGAATAACGCTCATTTTAAACACTGTGGTGATCCCTTGCTGGGGCCCAGCACCTGGCTGTCAAGAGACCCAAGACTCGGGCTGAACCCTGTTGGCCAGCACCACCCGACCCTCTGAGGGTCTGTGGCAAGTCCCACGGGCTCAAGAGAAGGCAGCCACATGGAGGCAAAGGTGCCAAGCGGCAAACACCCCCTCCCCTGGCAGGACTCCTTATACCCCGCCCCAGAACCCTGGAACCAGCCAGAGCTCCCAGGTTGCTGCAGGACAGGGAGACCTGCCTCCTGCCCCACCTCCCTGGGAACCGCCCCCAGCAGGCACTTCCTTCCCTCCCCCGTTTCGGGCAGATGGTCGCTCCACTTCGCAGACGGTCATTCCACTTCGCTGGTGATTCTGATCTAGGTTCAGTTGACTTTGGGGCAAAACTCACTGCCTAATCCCAACTCTAGTGGGGAGCTGGGTGGGGAGCAGACGGGCCAATGCTGCCACCTGCTGGCCATCCCCGGATAAGACCCCCCCAAATTCAAATCGTCCTCAGGAAGGACCCTCAGGGCACCAGAGGCCTTCAAACACCCAGTGAGTGAGGAAACAGGGTCAGAGGCACCACGGCATGGCCCAGCCAAGGCCTAGAGCCGAGGCTTGAACCCTGGGGGACCCCCTAGACCCACCTCCCCAGGAGCGACAGACACTGAGACACTTGGCTTCTGGTCTCGCCCAGGCCCCTCCCGCCGGAGGCTGGGATTTGTGTGCAGATGAAGAGTGGCGGATGCAGTCCTGCGCCAGGACAGGGGTGGGAGCACCTCCCGGGGCGGGCCACCTGCCAGGGGCCCATCCTAGAGCCGAGCATGAATCCGAAGGAGGTACCAAAGCCTCCTCCTCAGAATCAGACTTGGAGCTGTGACCCCAGGGCCCAGAGTGGCTCAGGGCCAGGAAGGGGTGCCGCAATCGAACTGTTATCTAAGCTTTGCACCAGATCACACGGTCACCTCAGAGCTCCTCACGGGAGACGCCTACTGCCTGGCCCATGGATGAGGGGCCCGGCCAAGCTGCCCAGCCCAATCAGAGGGCAGTCTCTGTGTCCAGGACTCACGGGCACACCTGTGGGGTCAGGTCTCCAAAGGGCTGCAAGGGGTTTCAGTAGCCAGAGGGGCTGCGGGGCCACCAGGTCATGCCCCTTCCCTGTAAGACAGGCCATTCCTGTAGGGTGGGGCTCTGGCTTTGTCACTTTGCTGTCAGTCTGGGGACGATGCCACAGCTGGGCCCCTGTAGATGGAACCAGAGGGGAGGCAAGGACCCGCCCGCCCCCCGACTGAGGTCATCAGCGTCCCGCCTTCCTCCTGCAATGCTAAAGGCCTCCCCAGCCCAAGGGCTGCCCTGGGCCAAGACGGGGCCACTCAGGGCTGTGCCGGCTGCCCTCCCTGGCCAGGTGGCCCCAGAGGCACAGGCCGCAGAGACCGCGGGGGACCTGCGTAGGCCTCCGGTTCCCGCCCCAGTCACTCCCATCCCCAGCCCCGGACAGGTCCAGCTGCGGCCAGCGGCTGGGGAAGGCTCTGTCCCTCCAGGTGTGCGGCTTTGGCGAGTGCCTCAGGCCTGCCTCTGCCCCTTCCCTGTGAGCGCCTGCGATGTGGGTCCCCATAGCACCTGCGGGGCTCAGGCCAGACAGGATGTAGAGGGCCACCTTCCGCCCGTCCTGAAACCACGCGGCGGCCTCCCGGCTGCCACCCCCGCGCCCCGCCAGGCCCTGCCTGACGCACGCGGCGCCCTCCCTCCCGGGACCTCGGCCCTGCGTGGGCACCAGGGGGGCGTCTACGCCAAGCCGGCCGTGTGCTTTCGCGAGGGATGACTGGGGAAGGTCCCGGATCTCGCCTTGTGCCCCTCTGGCCCCCAAACCCACCGGCGCCCCGGCACCGGTCAACCCGCTCAGCTCAGAGGGCGAGATGGCGACAGGGCGGGACCGCCGCGGCCGGCACGAAGAGCTCGGCTCCCCGGGGCCGGTCCAGAGCCAAGCGCCGGCCTCCGTCTCCCCAGCGGGAAATGGGTCCGCACCGTCTCCACTCCGCGGCGCTGTCCCCAGAGGGAGAGCGGCCCGTGGGCGCGCGGGGCGCAAGGCGGGGTCGGGGGCAGCGTGGGGCCCTGGGGGCGCCGCAGACACACCGCCCCCGACTCCCGCCGCGGCCCCGCCCCGCGCCCCCCACTCCCTTCCCTCAGCCCCGCCCCGCCTGGCGCCCCTAACTCCCTTCGCGCGGCGCGGCTTCCGCGCCTCCTGCCCCGGCCGGCCCCGCCCCCAGCGTGACGCAAGGCCTGCGCCGCACGCCGAGCTGCGTCGTGTCGTCATCAGGCCTCGCCGCGTGGGCGTGGCCAGCGTGGCTTCCCCGGACCACCCGAACCCTCGGCCATGGCCCCGGCCGCCGCCAGCCCCCCCGAGGTCATCCGCGCGGCGCAGAAGGACGAGTACTACCGCGGCGGGTTGCGGAGTGCGGCGGGTAGCGCTCTGCACAGCCTGGCGGGTGAGGGCCGGGCGCGGCCGGACGTCCCTGCGAGCGGCCCGGGGGGCGTTGCCCCTCAAGGAGTCGGGGTGTCCGCCGTGGGTGGTCCCCGCGGCGCGAACGCCTCACACCTCGGTCGGGTTGACACTGACCCGGGCCTTCCTAGATCTGACCGGCAGCCCAGGCCCCTCGCCCTGCTGACCCCGGGGTAGGCTCAGCCAGGCCCTGCCTGTCTCACCAGGCCGTGAGCTGAGTACAGAATCCAGCGAAGCGTTGCCTGTCATCCCAGCACTTTGGGAGGTGGAGGCGGGAGGAGCGCCTGAGCCCAGGAGTTTGAGACCAGCCTGGGCAACGTGGCAAGACCCTGTCTCTACAGAAAAGTCTAAAATTAGCTAGGCGTGTTGGCGGTGCCTGTAATCCCAGCTCTTCGGGAGCCCGAGGCTGTAGTGAGCCATGATTGCGCTTCTTCACTCCAGCCTGGACAACAGGGCCAGACTCCATCACTAATTTAAAAACGAAAAACAGACCAACAAAAACGGGCACGATGACTCATGCCTGTAATCCCAGCACTTTGGGAGGCCGAGGCAGGCAGATCACTTGAAGTCAGGAGTTTAAGACCAGCCTAGCCAACATGGTGAAACCCCGTCTCTACTAAAAAATTAGCTGGGTGTGGTGGCGGGTGCCTGTAATCCCAGCTGCTCGGGAGGCTGAGGCAGAATCACTTGAAACCAGGAGGCAGAGGTTGCAGCGAGCCGAGATCGCACCACTGCACTCCAGCCTGGGTGACAAAGCGAGATTGCGTCTCAAAAAGAATAAAAATTCAGAAAGGCAATGCCATCAAGTCTTTGGGGGTGGGGCAGGCAGTTGTTAAAGGCATCAACTCCCAGCAGAACATTACACGGAGCAGTGGCACTGGAGCCCAGTGGCAGGGGTGTCGTGGCAGCAGGAACAGTGCCGTGGGACAGGAAGAGCATGCGTAAATCTCAGAGGACAGCCAGGCTCCCTGCGGGGAGTCAGGTGAGCAGCCATTGGCGGATTCTGAACAGGAGAGTGATGTGGTCAGATTTGTGTGTATTTATTTTACAATACACTTGGCACCCCTGTGCCACACACTGTTCTCTATGTGTTACAAATATTAACTTATTTAACCTTCAAACATCCCTACAGGTAGGACCTACTATTACTCTTCCGATAGATGAGCAAACTGAAATCCCAGAAAGGCCTCACAGCCAGGAAGTTGGAGAGTTGCTCTTTGATGCTAGACAGTTGGCCTCTGGCCTGCACTCTTACTACCGAAGACCGTCTCCGTGTGGTTCTCGTAGGCCCTCCCAGAGCGATAGATGGGTGCAGGTGGTAGGTTCTCAGGAGACTGCAGCTCAGGCTAAGGAAGGTCGAGGTGGAGACAAGGTGGTGCCTCCAGAGACAGAAGCAGAGAGGGAGGCCAGGGAAGAGAGTGTTGTCTTCACGGAAGGATGGGACTGGGTCTGGACCTGGGGGGCGGGGGGGTCCCTCATCCTCGGGGTGCCCACCAGCGCCCCCGGACTAACACTGTTTCTCCTCTCAGGTGCAAGGAAGTGGCTGGAGTGGAGGAAGGAGGCTGAGCTGCTCTCAGATGTGGCCTACTTTGGCCTCACCACACTTGCAGGTAGAAGCCCCCTCGGGACCTCAGGACTGAGGGGCAGCCACACACCAAGACCAGGGGATTGTGGGCAGGGGGCTGCCAGGCAGTGTGAGAAGCTCCTGGAACTGGCCCAGGTGGTGATGCTGCCTCAAGGAGAGCAGGAGGTGCTGGCTCGAGAGAGGCCGGGCATCAGCTCCCAGCAGGGAGCCCGTCCTTCCAGCCTTCGTGTGTCCCTGAGGACCTTTGTCCAAGACTTTACCTCGGGTGCCATTGAGACGCGTTTCTCAGTGGCCAGCCCTGGTGGCACAAGCAAGTCACAGTGCTGAGCCATGTCACAGGGTGCAGTGCCCTGTCAGGTCCAGGCTGGGCATCAATTGGGTGATGCCAGCTGTGTGGGTGGTGGCCAGCCATGGGACCAAATCCGAGCACTGGGGCTGGTAGTGGGGTGGCTGGGGAGAAATGGGAAGGCACAGAGACTCCTGGGGAGAAGCCGGGCACAGGAGGAACACCGGCCAGCCAAGGTCCCAGGAGCCAAGGGCAGCCACTGGCCGGGCCTGTCACGTGCTGCCTGAGGTCACGGTGAGACTGATGGGCTTAGCAAGAGGAGGTCATGTTGGCCTCCGCCAGTGTGGGACGACAGTGGGCTCAAGGGTGACAAGATGGGGCTGTTGACAGGAGCCAGCAGAGGGCATCGAGGCCAGGAGCCCATCCCCGAGGCAGGTCCTCTCAGCTCCCACGTACCCACCCTCTTCCTCGTAGGCTACCAGACCCTGGGGGAGGAGTATGTCAGCATCGTGCAGGTGGACCCGTCGGGGAGGCGGGTGCCCTCCTGGCTGCGCCGGGGCGCGCTGGTGACGCTGCATGCAGTCCTGCCCTACCTGCTGGACAAAGCCCTGCTCCCTCTGGAGCAGGAGCTGCAGGCTGACCCTGACAGCGGGCGACCCTCGCAGGGGAGCCTGGTGCCGGGCGGGCGCGGCTGCTCGGGGGCGCGGCGCTGGGTGCGTCGCCACACTGCCAGTCTGCCTGAGCAGCAGAGGAGGACGCTGCTGCGGGCGGCCCTTGTTCTCCGACAGGGCCTTGCCTGCCTCCAGCGGCTACACATCGCCTGGTTTTACATCCACGGTGTCTTCTACCATCTGGCGAAGAGGCTCACAGGGATCACGTACGTAAGTAGCAGGTGCTGAGGGCACAGCCACTTCGGCCACCCTTGTCACCCCCACTGGACTTGGGTGTGTGCACGGAGCTGGCCCTCCAGGCCTCTCAGCCAACAGGGTTCCAGCATCTGTGTCGAGGAGGAAACCGAAATCCTCTCCTTGGAAAAAGCAGGTTTTGTTTAGTTGCACTTGGCTGAAAAATCCAGGGACATGCAGACCCCGAGGGTAACATGAGCCCCTGCTGCAGCCCCACGTAGATGCCAGGCCCTGCACCCAGCCTTACTGACCGGGGGCCTGGGTCACGCCTCACAACAGATCCCTGAACCTGGTGGGCCTGTGACTGCCCATGTCACTGCTCTGGGGAACAAGCAGCTTCTCCCAGACAGTGTGGGAGCAGGGACTGTAGCCCCGACCCCCTCACACCTCACCCCTGCACGCCCAGCAGTCTGCCCCATCAGACAGCTATTCTCACCTCTCCCCTCCACAGCCGTCGGCACCTCTGCCCGTCCTGACCCCCAGCTGACGCCCCTGCTTCCAGATTCAGCAACAAAGCCTCCCCCACGGTCCGGCTGCCATGCTGCACATGCTCCTTCCAGAACAAGCCTCCAAGGGACCCCCTTCCTTCCTTCCTTCCGTCCTCAGGGGCATGCTGGGCTCCTCAGTCCCCAGTCACCAGGCGACCCCACCTCCACACACACCCTAAACGGGAGGCCACCGTGGCCTCCTGGTCGCAGAGCAAGGGGTCAGGTCTTGGTCCTCAGCGTGCCGAGCCTTGCGTATTTCATGTGACTGCTCGCCGTGTCCATGTTAACGAGGGTTTGCTGAGCTGCTGTGACGGAGGCCTGCAAACAGGGCTCAAACCAGATAGATGGGAGGCTCCCTCTCGCCTAGGACAGCCAGGAAGTGTAGACCCCAGGGCCCACACTGGTGGTGTGACCTGCTTCCCAGCCCTGAGCTGAGGCCATTTGGCCGTCTCCATTTCCCAGCCAGTGGGAAGGGACACAGGAAGCCGAGGGCAGCCAGCTGTCCTTCCACAGCACAGCTGGAAGCCACACGCGTGGCTAGCGGCAGGAGAGCAGGAGCCACATCCCTGGGGCCATGTGCCTGCTACACTGGGGCTCAGTCCCTGGAGCAGGGCAGCTGGGGGCACATCTGCAGCCCCCCGTTCCTGCCCCCCAGCTCCTTCTGTGGCCACCCTGCACGTTCCTTTTCTGAGAATTGGTCCCTGGATACCCCCACATCCTCACCCACTGCCCCGCTCCACCAGCCTCATAGCTCAGAGACTCCCTCTGTCCTGATGATGCCAAGGCCGGTCTGGAGCTCGGCCTCTCCCTCATGCTAAGCTGTGAAACGGGCGCCTGGGACGCCCCCAACCTGTCCCCCTAGCTTGTTTTTGCCGGGTGCTCCCAGTGCCAGGGAGAGGCCTGGCTCTAACGCCACCCTCCCAGCAGGCGCTGAGGCCAGATCCCCTCAGGGTCCTTATGGGTGTGGCACTGTCTGCCCTACAGCTCCGAGTCCACCCCATGTCTGGAGAGGACCTGAGAGCCCGCACGAGCTACAGGCTACTGGGGCTGGTGTCGCTGCTGCACCTGGCGCTGTCTGTGGGGCTGCAGCTGTACGGCTTCAGGCAGCGGCAGCGAGCCAGGAAGGAATGGAGGCTGCACCGCGCCCTGTCCCACCGCAGGTGTGCTTGGGGGCCACGCGGGGCTGGGGGTGCCCTGGGCACTTCCCGAGGACCTGTAAGGTGCACCCCCCTTGACACTGTGCCCCACCTTCCCCAGAGGCTCCCTGGAGGAAAGAGTCGTTTCCAGAAACCCCCTGTGCACCCTGTGCCTGGAGGCGCGCAGGCACCCGACAGCCACGCCCTGCGGCCACATGTTCTGCTGGGAGTGCATCACCGCGTGGTGCAGCAGCAAGGTGAGGTGCGCGCCTGCCGGGGTCCTGGGGTGGCCGCAAGCAGAAGTGGGGAGTCTGGCTTTGAACTTTCCAGTTTGAGGGCAGGGAGGTGGGCATCTTTTTAAAGACTCCCAGGTAGGTCAGATGTGGGGCCACTGGGGGGTTAAAGTTCCAAATTCAAGCATGCTGAGGCTCTCTCTGCTGAACGCAGGTTGGGGCAGCAGCCGGCCCTGGAAGGCGCCATGGCTGTCCCCCCGCACCCCAGCACGTCTCTTCCCAGGGTCCTCACCACACTTGGAAACCCTGGCACACTGACTCACACCCACCCAAGACACTGGCAGGGTGAGGGCAGCACCTTCCCAGGAGCCAGGCTGCCTGGGCTGTCAGCTGCAGGAGCAGGAGGGAACCCCAAGGCCGAGACCCACGCCGTCAGCCCCACCCCAGCCCCTACTGGGTCTCGGCCTTCTGGGAAAAGGCTGGCTTTCTCTTTCTTGGTCATTAACTGAAGGAAACAGAACATGTTTATATTCCGTGTCATGGGCAGAGAACGTGGACGGCACAAGAGATGCCGACGGGCAAGGGCAGGCGCAGGCGGCCTCAGCCACTGTGACCCTTCCTCCTCTGCAGGCGGAGTGTCCCCTCTGCCGGGAGAAGTTCCTGCCCCAGAAGCTCGTCTACCTTCGGCACTACCGCTGAGCCGCGCCTGGGCGCGCCTGGACGCAGATGACTTCCACGGGAGTCTGACCAAGATTTAGCCTGAAGATTCACCTTGCACAGAAATGAGAACATTCTCACACTGTCTGGTTTTTGCCATGTCATACACTAACCCAGCCACCCAGGGAGGCAAGAGAAAGCTGCACCTGCCTGTGCTTTCTCAGCTCTGGCCGGGTGCCCAAACATGGAGCATTTCCCCAAGCCCAGCCTGGGGCGACTCAGCCACTTCAGCAATCTCACCGGCTCCCTCCCTTCCCCGAACCACACAGTTGAGAACTCACTTCAGAAGTAGCCAGAAGACACTTTATTCATTTATATCGTGAGAAGATGGTTCCATCAGGCTCGTGTTAAGGCAGTGGACTGAACGAGTGTGTGTTGAATTGGGATGGGGCACGGGGGGCTGTGGTTTGCTTCAGCCAGAGTAGTCAGAACGACAGCCCCAGGGCCCCTGTGGGAGGCACTGGGATTCTCCCCCGGGGGCAGCTGGGCAGAGCACCTCCACCAGGACTCAGTGACCACACGGGCAGAGAGAAACCAACCAAGGTCGGCACCTGTCTGAAGCATTTGGCATACCTTAAACACACAAGGCTGCTTCCAGTTCTAGAAAACAGAGGGGGCTCTTCCTGACCCACACGCACTCGCGTGCCAAGTCCTCGGGCAGGGCAGGGTAGGGGGGCTGCCAGGGGCACCCGAGCCCTCTCCTGGGGGCCTGCTGGGCAGGGTCACTGTTGTGTGCAGCCCTTCAGCTCAGCCCCAGCCTACTTCCTGCCTCCCTTTGACGTTTCCAGGTTTTTAAAACTGCATTTAACCTGTGCCAGAGACAACCCCACCGTTGCCGTATTTAATAAACTGATTCCACTGAACTGTGGGTACGCTGATGATGAGACTGAACTTGAGAGTTCACAGCGCGCAGTGTGAGAATGCCTCAAGGGCATACATCACATTCCCCTGCCAACTTAGGAACACCGATGACCTAGTGTTCCCAGGTTAGTCAAGTTCAGCTTGCGGGGCTGGGGGTTGTGACCCTCTAGACTGGGCGGAGCACCAGGAGAGGCACTGGGGCTGCAAGCGGTGGGCAGATGCCTCGTGCTTCCCACAGAAAGCGCGTGGTCTTCCGTGGGTCCGTCCACCGGCACCCAATCCTCTGATGCACACTGTGCTCTGGCCACACGTGCACATGACTTCCTGTCCCATCTTGGGCCTGAGCGCTTACTAGGAAAACAGTATGGAAGTGACAACCGCTCCTGTCTGGAGTCTGAGAACCCCGAGTGCCTCAACACAGCACCAAGAGCACCAACTGGGAGCAGCACCTGCTGACCTGGGTCAGGGGCACGAGCAGGACGGGCCTCTTGAGCTCGATGTCAGATACGCAGACACTGGCGAAAGAATCCAGACAATAAACATTCACCGTCTAAATTCTAAGACGGAAACACTGCCCGGAGCGGGGTGCCCGCAGGGCCGGGGGCCCCGGAGGGCCTTCCCCCGCGTCTCCGTGTCTTTCGCCGCGGACCACCGCAGGGGTGTTCCGCTGCTGGCAAAGCTGGCTCAGCTTTTGGGAAGGCCAAACAAAAGCTGAGCTTCCTTGTGTCCAGCGACGTCGTGTTTTAGATAAAGACTACACAAGAAAGGGCACTCGTCTTTAATAAAGGTGGAGTGAAAAATCACTTGGTAAAATGGTTCAGAGTATTTCTTCTATCACATCAAAAGAGCTGACATGCAAGTGGGTTCTGCCTCCCCCCGGGAAGTGGGGGGGCCGAGGGCTCAACCCACAACGCCAGTCCACTGCCGCCAGCTTCGCCACCCCTCATGGGGGTTGCATGAGGACAGATTTAAATTAAAAACGAAACACTCTTTACGTATCAAATGTGTCAAAATAATCTCAAACAATTAAAATATAATATATATATTTATAATTCCAGGCCCTCAGAAGCAATCATGGTAGTTAAGAACAAAGTTTTGAGTCATCAGGATAGAGGCCAACTGTAAGCATCTCCAGCGAGATGAATCGATCGAGGAAACTGGCATCAGAACCCACAGTGACGTGACAACCCCTTTCAAGCGTTCAGTTCTTTCAAACGCACAGGACTCGGGCCAGACGGTCCCTCGGGCTCCGTGGAGTGGCTGTGGCACCGCCTCCGGCTGGCAGGGAAGGCGGCCTGGCCGGGAGCGGCCGTTCCTCCCTCACAGGCCTCACTCCCGCCTGCCCTCCCGTCACCGAGGAGGGGACCGGCCACCCACCCTCGCCCCTGTGGGCTCCACCCGCCTGGCTTCCTGCCTGCAGCTGCCTAGAATTCCATCCATGAGAAAACACCTGAACGTCACTGAAAAAGAAATCCATCCGATTTGGTTTAAGTGCCAGTTTCTTCCAGAACCTGATATTTCAGCTACAAATCATTGAAGCTCCTTTTTAAAAAGAAAATTCGACTCCCTCATAATCAACTACTTTATGTGAAGAAAAGGCATTGTTAACAATGGCTCAAAACCGTTCCTGCAACGCGTGGGGCGTCCTCAGTCCCGCTTCTAGCTGGCGAAGGCCTTGCCGGCGTCGTCCCTGCCCCTGTACCTCCTCTTTCCGTGCGTGAACGGGATGTACCGGTACTTAATCATGTGCTGCGGAGAGAAACAGACGCAGCTTCTGCACAACCGCTTCCCCTCAGCCACGCTGTCCCCAGAGCTGAGTGCCCAAAGGTCCCCCATCTTTTCTACGCATCAGGCAAGTGGAAGCGGGACCCCAATGGCTTCTTGCACCCCCATCAACACAGCAACGCCTTCCAGAGCCCTCGAGTCCCAGGTCTGAAACCGCAGCAATCCAGGTGTTTCGTGAGCCTTCCGTGGAGGAAGGGAGAGGGGGATGGGAGGTGGCCCAGGGCCCTCTCTGCGGCCAGCGCACCAGGCACAGAGTGAGGCCACAGTGGCAAAGCCACCCCGTCAGGGCAGTCCGTGGTCCTGGCTGGCCTCCCCCTGACGCCCTCCTCCTCGGGCAGGCTGGCGCAGGGCCCTGGGCGCCCTAGGAGCAACCACGGACGCTGCACACACCCAAGCTCTCCCATCCAGCTCCCACCAAGAGCCCGCTCGCCCCGACAGCCGCGCTCCCCGGGTCGTTCACCGGCCGTGCTGGGGAACGGAACAGCGTCCTTGTCACACACACGACTGCCACTTAGCTCCACATTCACACTAGGCAGACTCTGCCACCGCCCGCCACAGCCCAGCACGGCTCCCCTGCGCCTCGGGAACGGAAGAGTGGCCGCGGCTGGCATGGCGGCAGCGCCTCCTTTACCTTGATCTGCCTCTTCATTGTGATACAGAAGAGCATGATGAAGTACATCACCAGGATGGGCCAGAACACCGGGACGTTGAAAGCGTCGAAGAAAGTACAGACCATAGCCACAAGGATGCCCTTGGTAGCCGCGTGCCTTCAAGTGGGGAGAGAAGGTTAGCGCCACAGCTGCAGCCAGCACCGGGCCCCCGCTGGCCGCCTCCAGCCTCGCAGCCGCACCGACCCCGCAAACAGAAGCCTCCCGTGGAAGGGGGGGTCCACCCTGGGCACAGCAGCAGCATGACCCTTCGTGTGCGGCTCATACCCGTACCGCCCAAACCACAGAGATGCCTTCTCTCACCTCCTTCAAAGGTACCACTCTTCATACCACTACGCAAGGCATAAGGCCTCAGGGCCGAGGCTGCGTGCCCCATGCCCACTGCCGGACCTGCCATCTGGAGAGAAACCCAGGCTGCGTCTTGAGGACGGTCCAGGGCCTTCAGCTCACCACTGTGGCATGGCCAGCAGTGTTCCCTCCCGTCCCAGCACACGGCCGGCAGCTGCCATCACCTTCAGGAGACTCAGCTCTCCCTCCCTAGTCCTAGCTCCTGTGGGCTCCCAGAGCCCGGCTCTCTCAGCTCCACACTGCACCCCGGGAGCTCAGCAGGCTCCTTCCGTTTACTGAGCCGTTTACTGAGCCGACACACCTGGGTTCCTCCCAGGGTGGGGTATGAGGGACGGAGCAAATGCACGCAGTCACAGAGCCCCTTCATTCAGGTGGCTGTGCACCCACCTCTGCCTGCCTGTACAGACACGGCACTTCTGCTCAGGCCCATCTCAAAATGACTCCAGGAGAAGGCTAGTCCTCCTCTGCCAGCCACAGGGAGCCACAAGGCTGGGGATGGGAGAGAGGGAGGAGGGAGGGGAGAGGGAGGGGTCAGAGGAAGGGGGATGGGGAGAGAGGGAGGGAGGATGGGGAGAGAGAGAGGGAGGAGAGAGTGAGGAGGGAGGGGGAGAGTGAGGAGGGAGGGGGAGAGAGTGAGAGAGGGAAGAGGGAAGGGGAGAGGGAGGAGGGAGAGGGAGAAGGGGAAGAGGGGGGGAGGGGGGAGGGGAAGAGGAAGGGGGAGGGGAGGGGGGAGGGAGGGGAGAGGGGGAGGAAGGCAGAGAGGGAGGAGGGAAGGGGGGAGGGGGTAGAGGGAGGGGGAGGGAAGAGGGCGGGGGGGGGGGAGAGGGAGGGGGGAGGGAGGGGAGAGACTGGCTGCACAGACATGCCCTCCCCAGGCCACAACCGCAGAAGCCAGTGAGCACTGCATCCCAGAAGCAGCCACCTTTCTGCCAGCCTCCAGGGCACTGGTGCTGACTTGAAACCAAGAGCATGGGTGAGGTAGCGAGTGGCCTCCCGCGAGAGCCCCTGAGGCTCTCCGGCGCCCGCCACACCCAGTACAGCATTCATCTGTTGGGTGACTTGAACAAAACTCAGCACAGGCTGAGTCTCATCAGCCACCCTGGAGCACAACGCTCCTTCTCAAATACCGTGAAGAAGAATGAGCTCACCAAAACTTAAACTCTGGAAGCCTTCGAATGAAGGGGCGAAATTCCTCGTTCTGTTTGGTTGGCAGCGAAGGACCGTCATCTGCAAGGCAGAGCAACCATCAGGGACAACGCCCCTCTTTTTATTTCTATCACATTTCTAAGTGTTCCCCTAAAGGCTTTTGAGTAGCAGGCCTCACATATGTAAACAAAGGTTTGTATCATTTAACCAAAGATAAAAATGGGGGTCTGTGGCCAAGTCACACATCAATTCATCAGTTCACTGCTTTTAGGAGATGCTGGCCGAATTTTTTAGAAGACGTCCGCATGTTTTAAATGCATAAAGAACTCAACCACATATACATGTCCAGCAGCACCTCAGCTGTACCACATAAAGGTACAAAACCCAGCGCGGAGAACAGGGCGGGGCCGAGGCAGCGCTGACCGGGGAACCCGGGGCCAGGCCTCTCCCACCAGCAGCCGCGTCAGCACTCTCACCCCACCTCCCCACCGGTCAGGTGCCACTCCCCATTTACAGATGGGAAAACAGGTCTGCAGAAAAGGGGTCTTCATTTTCTCCCCCAAACAGCTACAACAAATGAGAGGAGCTGTGTTCCCGTCAATCTTTCCATCATATGCTCTACACAGAAGACTCACAGGCTTCTGGCCCCACAATGAGAAAACACTCTGCTCCCGACAGCAGGGTCCCCAGCATGAGGAGGGTCCTGGTAGGGGGCTGCCGTGCGTTTCCCTACAGTGGCCACGACATCCTGGAATGCACAGGTGTCTGCTCCTCTCCTGGGGCTGGCCAGTCAGCCATGAACTTGGGGCCCCTACCTAGCCAGGCGGGCCCAGGAGTAGCGTGAGTCTCCAGGAATGGAGCACAAAGCATCGGGAGCACTTCAGCTCACGGCTCCTCATAAACCAGAGAAGGCCACCCGAAGCCTGGCCTGACCTGACGCTGGCATCAGGGTCCCGGCAGTCTCCGTGAGCCAGTGACCTGCCCGTGGAACCCTCTACCTAGGGAAGAAGGTAACCTCACCATGGCCTCCTCCAGTGATTCTGAGCGGCCAGTGACTGGGGTGGGGTGGGT